TGTGGCTGTCTGTTTCCATAAAGATTATGGTCTTGAAAACGCTATGGGGCAGTTCTACTCTGTCCTATAGGGTCGCTATGAGTCAGAATCAACTCAACAGCAATGGTTTGTTTTTTGTTTTTTTTGGCAGGGGGAGCTATGAAAGCCAGCCAGGGGCAGAACGGGCCCTCACCCATGCACAGTTCCTTGAAGGGATAGTTGCACATGCCTCAAAAGACATTCATTAGCTTCTAAGGCATGGGCTTCTCCTACTAGCTAGTCAGAGATTTCCACTATTAGGGTCACCATTGTGCATGCAATAATGATACTTTAATCAACATTTCTGAACCTCAGTTTTCTCGTATGTAAAAAGGGATAATAAAATCTACCTCAAAAGTCTGCTGCGAAGATGAAAGCGTTCACCCATAGAATGAAGCTGGCACTGCCTCGAAAGTTATCTTTCTAAAACACAAGCCCTAAACTCCTATTCAGTCTTCAAAACCCAGCTCCAGTACCATCCCTGAGAAGCCTGACTTGACTGCCCAATGTGATGGTTCACTGCTCACCCCCTCCACGCTCCTATCATACCTTCCACAGACTTATGTCATTTTATTCTTCACAGAGTAATGTAAACATTCATTTACTTTTCTATCTCCTTTACCATATGGTAAGCCACTTGAAAATGGGGTCTATGGTTTATACAGCTTGTGATGCCAACACCAAGTCTATAGTCTGCATACTGTGGAAAATGTTTCATTTAAAAAAAAAAAAGTGGCCATCTAAGATATTCCACTGGTCCCACCCTGTCTGGAGCAAGGGAGATGAAGAAAACCAAAGACACAAGAGTAAGATTAGTCCGAAGGACTAATGGACCACAACTACCACAGCCTTCACCAGACTGAGTCCAGCACAGCTAGAAGGTACCTGGTTACCACCAATGGCTGCTCTGACAGGGATCACAATAGAGGGTTCTGGACAGAGCTGGAGGAAAATGTAGAACAAAATTCTAACTCACAAAAAAGACTAGACTTTCTGGCCTGACAGAGACTGGAGAAACCCTGAGAGTACGGCCCCTGGACACCCTTTTAACTCAGTACTGAAGTCACTCCTGAGGTTCGCCCTTTAGTCAAAGATGAGACAGGTCCATAAAACAAAACGAGACTAAATGGGCACACCAGCTCAGGGGCAGGGATGAGAAGGTAGGAGGGTACAGGGAAGCTGGTAACGGGGAACCCAAGACCAAGAGGGGGAGAGTGTTGCTATGTCCTCAGGCTGGCAACCAATGTCACAAAACAGTATGTGTATTGTTAAATGAGAAACTAATTTGCTCTGTAAACCTTCATCTAAAGTACAAAAAAAAAGACAAGTGCCACAGAGCTCCAAGCAAAATGAGATAAATGAACAGGAAGTGGAAATATGCATCCAATGGCTTCTCTGCAGTGAGGTGGATATGTTCACTTAAGATTCCACAAGAAAGCTTCTAGGTTTCCTGAATACAATCAAACACTTTGAGGGACAGAGTCGCAGGGGTAGGGATCCGGGGACCATGCTTACAGGGACATCTAGGTCAACTGGCATAACAAAGCTTATTAAGAAAATGTTCTGCATCCTACTTCGGTGAGTGGTGTCTGGGGTCTTAAAAGCTTGCAAGCAGCCATCTAAGATGCATCAATTGGTCCCAACCACCTGGAGTAAAGGAGAACGAAGAACACCAAAGACACAAGGAAAGTAGTAGCCCAAGAGACAGAAAGCGCCACATAAACCAGAGACTTCATCAGCCTGAGACCAGAAGAACTAGATGGTGACTGGCTACCACCAATGACCACCCTGACAGGGAATACAACAGAGAGTCCCGGATGGAGCAGGAGAAAGGTGGGGTGCAGAACTCGAATTCTAATAAGAAGACCAGACTTAATGGTCTGACTGAGACTGGAGGAACCCCGGAAAGCATGGCCCCCAGATTCTCTATCAGCCCAGAACTAAAACAATTTCCGAGGCCAACTCTTCAGACAGGGATTGGACTGGACTGTGGGACATAAAGTGATACTCGTGAGGAGTGTGTCTCTTAGCTCAAGTAGATACAGGAGACAAACTGGGCAGCTTCTGTCCAGAGGTGAGATGGGAAGGCAGACAGGATTAGGAGCTGGTTGCATGAACTTGGGGAATCAGGGGTGGAAAGGAGGAGTGTGCTGTCACAATATGGTGAGAGCAATTAGGGTCACATGACAATGGATGTATAAATTTTTGTATGGGAGACTAACTTGAAATGTAAACTTCATCTAAACTACAACAATAAAAAAAAGAAGAAGAAGAAAGCTTCTGGATCTAATGGAAGAATTCAGCAATGTTGCAGAATACAAGATCACCACACAAAAATCAGTTGGGTTCCTTTATGAGATTGGCTCATAAAATAAAGAATATCACCCCTGAGTACTGTGCACCTTTAAAAAATCATCTCTGTGAGACCAAAGGGTCAACAATTACTCTAAAGCAAAGACGAAAGGGTAAGGGAATAAGGAAACTAGATTACTAGAAATGAAACATCCAGAATGGAATTAATGAGAATGTTGACACATTGTGAAAAATGAAACCAATGTCATTGAGCAATCTGTGTGGTAATTGTTAAATGGGAACCTAATTTGCTGTCTAAACTTTCACCAAAAACATAACAAAATATTATTTTAAAAAAATCCATCATTTTACCCTCATTATAACTCTGTGAAGTAATCATTATAATCATCCACATTCTACAATTTGGGAAAATTGAGGCACCAAGCTGCAGTGACTGTCTAAGATCACATGCAGGAGGCCAAGCTCATACTGAACCCAGGACTCTGGACTCCGAAACCTGTGCTCTCCACTCCACCATGTGTGGCCTCTCATAGACAGGGGGAAACGGTCCATCCTAATTGAGAGCGTCGCTGTGAAAAGGCACTTTGTTTCTCAAAGGTGGTAAGGACTCTGGATGGTATTAGGACATCTTAGAAAGTTGTCACCTGGGAAAGTACAGGAAGCTTGAGAGACCTAGGTCTGAATCCAGGCTCACTCCCTCCTTAACTCTGTGGCCTTGAAGCCGCAGAAGCCTCAGAAGCCTCAGCTGCCTCACGGGGTTTGAAATAATATTTACTTTGCATGGTTTTATATAAGAATAACAGATAGGTAATATATGAAACAAACTGAGAATATAATAAGGAATGGTAGTTATTATTATCATTATAGGTCGGAAAAGGAAATGACATATACGGAATGCCTGTGCCACGAAGTATTTTACATACCCTATCTTATTGAATCCCCACAACAACCCTGTGGAAGTGGGTGCTATTCCTTTTATCTTATATTGAGTAAACTAAAGCTCAGAGACACTTAAGTAACTTGTTCAAGGTCACACAGGTAGCAATCGGCAGAGCCAGCATTCAGGTTGAGGTCTTTAAGTCCAAAACCTTTGCTCTCTGCAGTATACCTGTCTACATTCCAGATTAGTTACAGTGGAGAACAGATAAGGAGGACTCAGATATACCGCAAATGGCTGAGGTCAGTGTGCGGCACTGGGAGAGAAGGGTTGGATCAGGCTCATGTGTAAGTGTAACCTGGGATGTGCACTAAAGACATTTGGAAGCTGTACCAGATGAGGCATGGGACAAACCAAAAGGGAAGATGTTCAACAATAAATGTCACTTTCTTCAATTTCCCTTTCATCTCATAATACAATAGTAGAGATGATTCATATTTATATTTCAGTCCTTGTGCTAACAGTCTTCAGAAAAAAAAACCCTATACTGTAATATCAATGCATTATTTTCTATTGTTTTTGCTACCATTTTTGTCCCAGAAAATGTTTTGAAACCAAACAGAGGAAGTTCAGAAAAATCACAGGAAATGTCCTTGTTCAGAGAAATGGAAACAAACCAATTAGGTTAGTCTCTTATTTGCACCATTAACACCAAGACATGTTGGAAGATTCAGGTAACTAGTACAGGACTAGATGGCTTCAAATCATCCTTTAGAGGAACAAGTGCCATTTCACGATAAGACAACAAAAAGAAGAAAAATGTTTTCTGACGTTTTCCTCTGTCTCACACAACTCCCCATTCTTGGAACAAACAGGCCTTTGCATTCTCCAGTCAAGGTCCAGGAAATCTTCACGCTGTGAATGTTTTTGATTCATACAGTCAGGTTAGACACACGTAGAAACAACAGTGCAGAAACAAACAAACAAAAACTCTCCCTTTGGGATGGAAAGTTCTTCTCAAGAGAGGCACTCACACCAAGTCCTCCCACTTGAGGCCACGAGGCTGTGAGCCCAGAAAGATGCTCAGTCAAGACTAAAAACGCGGACTTGGTGAAAGAAAACTCAACAAAGAGAGGCGGCGGAGTAGACTCTGACTCGGAGCAAAGTCACTGTAGTTGGTTCAAATTTATTAACATAGGAAGGTCCGAGTTTCTCTACTAATAAATACATCCATTCTCTTATGCACTTTTCCAAAGTAGAGCTAATGGCACATAAAGCTAGCAGATCTGTGAAAACTCGTTCATAAAGAACTACCTGTAAACTAGAAGTTTCAGGCTTCACGACCCAAACGTTCAGTGCCTTCCCCTCCGCTTCCTCGCGCCCCATTCCAGCGCTGCACCCCTCACCACCAACAACCCATGCCCAGCTTCTCCTCCTATCCCTGTGGCCCCAGAAAGGATTGAGGCTCCACAGAGACGCGAGACCTGCGCGACCCGCGGGAGCACCCCTCCCCTCCCTGCCATCCCCATTATTCGGCACGCAACCCTCCTCGCTCCTGGAGCCAACAGTCTGCAGCTCCTTCAATGCAGGCAGGAATGGTGGGAAGAAAAGCTGTGCCAGCTGCATGTTTCAGAATCTCCCTCCATATGCATTTGCCAAAGGAACAAAAAGAAGATCAATGCCAGGAAAAGACAACTGAGATGAGGATGCGGTGGAACCGTGCCTGACTCCGTGCCTCTTAGCACCAGGAGCTCGCCAACCACGCGTCCGAGCCACAGATCCCAGTCGTTACCTTCAGGCTGCAGGCCATGGCGCTCCGCCGGCCCTCCCGCCACCGAGCAGCGGGCGCGCCTGAGTCACAGGCAGTCTCGGCAGCAGGCTGGAGGCTGGTACCGCTGCAGGATCACTCCAGCCCACATTCCCGCAGATCCAAACGAGGGACCGCGGTGAGAGCGTACCGGCACAGGCCCCGCCCCCCGCGCTGAGGCCCCGCCCCCGGCCCCGTCCACTGGCCGGCGGCCCGCGCTCCCCCCCGTCACGTGCCGTCCGGGCGCCGGCGGCGGCCCGGGAGTACCTCCTACTCTTCTTCTTCTTTTCTGTAAACGTTCTGTCGTTCAACGTATACGAAGTCGGCTCGGCAGCAGAGAGAAATCTAGGTCCTGCTAGGAAGAAAAGCGGCCTTTTTCTTCCCTTGGTTTGCTTTCGTCTTACAGATCAGAAAAGCCTTGCAAACATTTCACACTTTTTAAAAAGTAAAAAGGTTTGGAATCGCCACTCTACAGTCTTTGGGTACTTCGAAGGATTCTTCAAAGGTAGCGCCGAAGTTCTCCCTGGGCTGTTTAAGGATAGAGCCGTTCCTCTGCTTAAAAACTCTGTGATGGATTTATCTAAAATTAATAAATTGCAGTGAATAAGGGAGCACAAATATGTATCAACCAAAGAAGCCATAAAAGCTTACACTATGTATGCAAATTATATATATGTGTGTGTATATATATGTGTATATATGTATATGTGTGTGTATATATGTGTGTATATATGTATATGTGTGTGTGTGTATATATATATATATGTATATATATATATATATAGCTCAGCTGCTAACTGAAAAGTGGATGAGTGGATGGTTGGAACCCGGCAGCGGCTCTGCCGGGGGAAAAAAGACCTGGCAGCTGCTTCTGTAAACATTAACAACCTTGGAAACCCTATGGGGCAGTTCTGCTCTGTCCTATAGGGTCACTGAGTCACTGGAATACAACAGTAACATATACATATATACACATATTGTTTGGCTCGTTCCTGCTACAAGCTTGTCTATGAAAAAAGTATACATAAATATAGAGAGAATGTATATGTATATATGAAAATATAGTATGTTTTAATATATATGTTGTATATGGAGCCCTAGTGGCGCGGTGGTTAAGAGCTTGGCTGCTAACCAAAAGGTCGGCAGTTGGAATCCACCAGCCGCTCCTTGGAAAACCCTATGGGGCAGTTCTACTCTGTCCTCTAGGGTCGCTGTGAGTCGGAATTGACTGGAAGGCAATGGGTTTGTGTATATATATGAATATATATATATATATATGAGTGTGTGTGTGTGTATACACAGAGCTTTGCTCTTCTCTCCTACAAGCTCAGAACTTAAAGGAACTTTGTTGCCACTTCGGTAACAAGGTAAACTCTAAACTTTCCTCTCAGGCTCTGAAATCCAGAGGTCATTTTTCATGATCCAACCTGAACTCTCTGATGCTAAAAACAAAATACAGTAAAGCAGCTCCACCTAAGAGGGAGGAAGGCTGGGAGAAAATGGTTCCCTGTGGACCTCTCCTCACAGGAAAGCCAATTCCCCCAGCAGTAGCAGGCTGAGAAGCAGTGCTATTTCTATGAGGAAAGTAACATCACACTCACAGCAGAAGCAGGGAGAGAACGTTCTGTATACATACACAAATTTTTACCACTTGGTCTGTCAGAGAAATCTTAAAACCAGCCCCAACATGTTTACACACAATAGGTTTCACTTACTAGAAGCATTGTCTGGTTTGTCTGTGGGAAGTCATGGAAAAGGACTGTGGGATGGTGATGGCTGTGGTGTCGTGAGACTGGCTCATAAACCACAAGGCAGAAACCAGGCTTTCAAGGGATTTGGTATTTTCTGGATTAGAACATTCAAAATCCTGAAAGAACAGGAGGAACCCCAGAAATGAAGTTGCAGAGGCAGAGACTGTGAAGGAACTGCCTGCTTCCAACGGAAGCTTTTTTCAGTCTCCCTAGGGGTACCACACTCTGCTTTCCCACTCTTCCTGCCCTAGCCCCTCCGTCTGCCTTGGAGATCAGGTATATTTTCAAGTAAGAATTCCTGGATCAGGACTGTGTATTTTAAACTGCTGCTTTGACTCATGTTCTTTAATGGGCCAGCAAAACCCAGTACTTCATCTGTCCATCCACCCATCCATTCATTCATTCAACACATCCTTACTGGGTATGGTGAAGTGAATTACTTAATATGGCCCTTCTAGCCATAGTTTTTGTAACTCCCAACAAATGACTGGGTAGGACGATGCAAATGTGGTGCTTGTGGCCCCCAAGGAGATTGGATAGCTTGCTAATAATGTAAATAAGGTGCATGGCACCCTTGTGGGGGTGGGACAATACAAATAAGTATATAGAACCCTGAGGAGGGGATTGGTCAGTTTTCCCATCTCTCTAGGCTTAAAATGAGTCATCCCAGAGGGAGGATCTCAACATTACCAAGAAGAAAGAGGCAGCAGTGGAACGTGTCCTTTGGACCCAGGATCCCTGCACTGAGAGCCTCCTAGATCCAGAAGACAGAGAGAGGAGCTGTAACAAGGAAGACAGCAGAGATGGTGGTATGAGATGGCAGGAATCAGGAGACTGGCAAGAGATGGCTGCGGTAGTGCTTCCCAGCCCACAGAGAAAACTGAGCACCTTAGGGCATAAGGCTTACTGGCAGAGTAGGGTGCCTCCGGGCACTAATCGGTGGAGCTGAAGAGTTGTGTAACACTTGCCTGAGTAGGACAGAGGGCAGGCTGAGGGACCAACAGGACAAGGGGTCAGAGAGAGGTGTGCCTGCAGGTACAGCTGAGAAAACGCTGTTCTGATCGAAGAACTATATTCTGAGTGTTCCTAAACCTGTATTGTAACCTATTACTTCCCTAATAAACCCCATAATCCTGAGTATTGTCTGTAAGTTCTGTGTGGCCATTGCAATGAATTATCGAACCCAGCAGAGAAGTGGAGAGTGCCCGGGAGTGACGACTGGTGTCAGAATTGGTTAAAAAGTTGGAGGGTAGAGGAATGTCTGACTTCATGGAAACCAGTTTTGTGCTGTTCATCTTGATTCTCCCTCCCCCTTGTGAAGTTAGAGATCAGACCCTGTCCCTGCCATGCCATTTTTACAGTTGGTGTCAGAAGCAAGATTTGTTGCAATGGCTCCATCCTCATGGAAGCATGGGACTTTGTAAGAGAAAGAATGAAGTCGTGGGAAGTAAAATTTTTCATTCTTAGATGGTTACTTTGGTTGTTATCTGTAATGGCTGAAAAGAAAGTGAGAGATATTATGCAACAGCTGAAGGGAGAAAAGCTGCATCTGGAGTGTCTTGGGGCAAGGGCCAGGCAAGTTAAATGAGCTGATTCCTAGGGGGCTAAGGCCATCTGATTCCACCCAGCCAGAGGCCCAAGGCCATATATATATGAAAGGGAAGATAGTCAAGGGGTGGAGAAGATGAAACTGGAATGTTTTTAAAAAGGGTTATATGTTTATTTGAATGTACGATGGATATTGAATGTTTCTCCTACCTAGTGTTATAAAACAGACCTCAATGTATGATAGAAATGAATTTTGGTATTATATATTACAGAAAGCATGTAACTCAGCCTTCAGCCAATGCTTGATTAGATATGCTAAAAGGGGAACTGGAATTTGCCCAAAAGAACCACAGGCTGTTGGTTTGAACGCAGTAGCCCTGTGTACGGTATTGGGGGCTTAGGTGGAAAACCTGAGCCTCACCCAGGAAATATGCATTTGAAAAGACATACAGACCTACCCAGAACTGCTGAGAGAACAAGATACTTGTATTTGAAGGAAGAACCTGCAGGGGGAAAAAAAAAGATTGTTTTGCTTTTTGAATTTCTAGCAAGCAGTTTGCCTTTGGGTGCATTGAGGCAGGAAAAGTCAGTTCCCATCAGAAGAACGCCCTTCCAGCACTGGAAGTTAACGTGAGCTGGCAAGTAGATAGCCTGGCATGCTTGCTTGTGATGACCACCTGAGTCCACTTGATGAGTGCAAGTGGGGGAGATGCAGCAATGTAGAGATGGGCTAAGTTTGGACATGTTCCGTTGGCTCCCGTTGACTTAGCCCACTTGGGCCAGGGATGAGAGAGAGGAAGGGCTGGCTGATTTGAAGCAAAAGGAGTTGTATGGACTCCTGATGCTACAGGTGGTGCCTGTTGACCTAGTCCACAGGCTCCATCAATCAACTGGGAAGTGGTTTTCTCAGTTAAACCCCACCCACTCATGCCACACTTCCCAGAATGTTATTTTTTAATTAGCGTCCATAAGTTGTGCCTAAATACAGATAGTAATAGAGGCACATTTATAATAATGTAAAAACAAACTCAGTAGATTCTAGAATAAACCTGGGGCAGAAATTTTACAGAACAATGTTAACAATCACTATTTAAGATGACAGCTCTGGAAAAAAGCAGTTGGCTGGAAATAAAAACAGGTTCTAAACCTACTGGGAAATGAAGGTACAACCAGGTTTGTGGAGGTTGGGGAAGTAAGGCCTGGATTTTGTTGTTGTGGTAGTTGTTGTTTTAAAACTGACCAGACTACAGGATTGTTTAGTCTAGCCCACAGATGGAGCATAGTTTTCCAAGTCTCAGATTATGTGACCTATGACTCCCAGCTGCCCCCAAAAGCCAAAGGCCACTAGTTCTAAAAATATTAATAATAAAATGGAGACAACTTGCAATCAAATGCAATATCCTATTTTATTTTCCCAGTATCCATATCAAAGTTATCATCCCCAGCTGGTCAATTAAACCAGGTAATCTGACTTCTGGGCCTGCCATTTTAGCCATCACAATTAGCTAGTCAGTATGTTAAGAACTCAAAACCAGTGAGATCTCAACATGCTTTAAGACTCATGTACTCTAAGTTATGGGCTAAATTTTGCTATTTAAATTCAGTTTTGCTTGATTGTAAACAGCCCCATTACTAAGAAATTCTCAGTTATAACAGTTTCCTGATTGAAATAGAATTAAAATGCAGACTCCTATAACTTCTCTAATTCCATCCTGCACACATACTAATTTAATATATTTATATTCAGTACGGTCATTTATTAAAGTTTTAATTGGATCTCAATTTTTCCCGTCTAAAGACTTTAAATGAATTCCAGATATCATAAAAC